AATATTTGAGCAAAAAATGGATTGAACATAAAATATTAAGTAAGGCATCATGTGGGCTGTACCAAGGGTAGACAAAGGAGTACAGCACAATCTAGATATGGATCCTGCCAGACTCAGAGGTGCTTCCCACTGGGATTTGTAGCTGCTATGAAGCTATGAGGTGTACAGCCTTGAGCAAGCCTCTGTTCCCCTATCTGTACAGCTGGGGGACTGGCAGCCCTATTCCTGGGGGGCTGTAAGGATGCAGCTGGCTGATCATGGGAGTCACTCGGTCCATGCCTGGTGTATGCTGAGGGCTCTGTTTTATTCTTTCTATAGCTACTTCTCTCTCTCTCTCTCTCTCTCTCTCTCTCTCTCTCTCTCTCTCTCCTCTCCTCTCCCCCTCTCTCTCTCCCTGCTCTCTTGCTCTCTTCTTATATTTTAAAATTGCATTTTATTTATTTATTTATTTAGTGTAGGTCAAAGGACAACTTTCAGGAGTCTGTTCTCTCCTTCTACCATGTGGAGCCAGGGATTGGTACTCAGGTGGTCAGGCTTGGTGGTAAGCGCCTTTATTCACTAAGGCATCTCACGTGCCCATGTGAATCTTCTTCCTTCTTTTCCTCAATCTTTCATTATTTTCCTCACTGTCCTTGTCCTTCTTCTCCTTCTCTTCCTCTTCCTCCTTTTTGAGACAGTCTCACTATGTAGCCCAGGCTGACCTCCAACTCAGGATCCTCCTGCTTCAGCCTCCTGAGTGCTGAGGTAACAGGCATGCCCCCCTATGCCTGGCCTTGGCTGGCTTATTTTTTGAGACATCTGCCTGTCCTGCCTGGGGAACCTTCCTGCCAGTTGACCCCACAACCTTAAACTGAGGTTCCACCTGGTGTGGTTCAGGAGACGGAAACGGTTTGCCTTCCTTTTTTACTTTCAAGGCTTAGGCAGAGCCAGCCTGGCCTTCTACACACTGTATAACAGCCCTTCCTGTCTACTCTTCTCTCCACAGACACACTCTCAGTGCCACGCTGGTCCCCGCAGATCCCACGTAGAGACCTGGGCAACTCCATCAAGCACAGGTAGGCTGGTCTTCTGGGGGAACCGTGGGGATGGGAGGCTGATGCCCAAGGAGCTAGGAGGTTGACATCCATGGGTGCCAGATAATATGTATGGTCCCAGCTCAGACATCTTCATGCCCTTCTATCCTTGCTGGCCTAAGTGGCAACTGGAAGATTTGGCTTTCTGCATCTTATTAACTTTGCCCTTACCAAATCCACACAGAGTGATTGAGAGCTGGTGCTTTAGAGTCAGACTGACCTGTGTTCCAATTCCTGCTAGCAAAGCTTTGCAACCACTAGAAATGACTTAACCTCCCTGGGTTCCATTTTTTTTTAAAATGTCGTTTTTATTGTCAAGAAACACACAACATACAGCCAAACAAAGGGCAGAGGCAGGCTAGGATATTATAATCAAGATCTTTAGTGAGATAAAATGACACTCTCCGTCCAGGAAATAAGCATAGAAGCTAGGGAAAAGATGACGTCACACTATATTCAGAGACTTTTTTGGAATTAAGCCAAATTTCATAACTTCCATAAATTCTGCCTATCCACAGGGTTTGAAAATGAAATGACTGCTAAGTGCTCAGCACACTGTTGCTGGTACTGTTGTTAAGTACCTTAGGCTGGGGCTTTCTCCACCCAGTCAATCAAAGATGGCTGGCTGAGCTCATTTTTAGAGGCAGGGTAGGGTGAGAAGGACAGGCAAGGATGGTGAAGCCCACTGACAGATGGGAAACTGAGGCCCTGGGAGATAAGAGGGGCTTTAAAGCTAATTCACTTGAGCCTGTGTATTTCTTAATTTCTGTCCCCAGGCTCAGCCTGTCATCCCTGGCTCAGCCACCCCTCAGAATTGATCACACTTCTGGCTCAGTCCCACCAGCTGGGGGAGGCTTGTCGAGTCCAGTGCCCCTTGGGAGTTGGCCAGCTAGGGAAGGGTCTGATGACACACTATGACAGTCCCCGGGGATTTGGACTGAAGGGAGAAACACCAGGGACCAAGGACCAACACAGACACATGACCACAGCCCAGGGCAAGGTGGGAATGAGGGCTCTCCGAGGTGGCAGCTCATCAGCAGCTTTCAAAGAAGAATATTGACAGGGTCCTTGTTAAAACTCAAAAGCAGAGGCCTGTGGAGAAAGCATTGAGAAACAGTGACAGGTCAATGCCCAGACTGAGCAATGACCAGGCTGAGCCATGGAGGGATGGGGAGGAAAGATGAGGGTCTTCTTATGTTCACTGGCTCAGCTCCACCCCTGGGTTGTCCACGTCCCCAGTTCAGCCCCACCCCTCAGTTGTCCACATCCCTGACTCAGTCCCACCTCTGGATTGGTTGCATCCCTGGCTCAGCCACCCCTCAGAATTGGTCACACTTCTGGCTCAGCCACACCCCTGGGTTTGCCACACTCTTGCCCCAGCCCCACCCCCTGGATAATCCCTGGCTTTCACATCCTGGCACTGGAACTGCTGGTTGCCCCACCTCTTGCTGCTGCTGCCCAGGGGAAGAAGCCAGGCTGACCGTATTGGGCTTAGGTCTGGCTTCCTAGTGAGGCCAGGCTCCAGGTGACTTGCTCTTCATCCCTAACCTATGTTTCCCCTGGGCTGGATGCCAGGAAGGAGAGACTCTAGCTTCATAAAAAAATGAAATCAAAGTCCCATCCCTGCCTTGTCAGGTCTGCAGTACAATCCCAGCACTCAGGAGGCTGAGGCAGGAGGATGAAGAGAGTTTGAAGCCAACCTGGGCTACATAGTAAAATCCTGTCTCAAAACACCACCACTACCACCAACAGATCTCATTCTCTGTCATCAGAATTACCTCAGCAAGAGCCAGACAACAGGGAGAGGCATCCCTGGGGATAGGATAGGGCTAGAAAAGAGAGAGAACTGTCTGCAGTCACTCACTCCTGCCCTTCGATCCTGGCCTGCCCACTGATGGGTCCTTTCCCAGCCCCTGCCCTGAGCTATCTCTGCCCTAAGGTATCCCTGCCCCGAGCTGCCCCAGCTTGCAGAGCAGACCTGCTAAACCTTGCTAAGACCCAAAAGGGCTTAACCAAGTCCAAAGCTGCAGAGGGAGCGTTGGCAGCCGGCATCTCTGCTGTGAATATTGCTATTTGCTTAGCTGTGGTAGCTTCAGGCTGTGGCTCGTGGAGTTTGGAGAAGGATTGACCCAGATCTGGCAAGAGAGGACAGCAGAGAGGGAGGCAGCCTTCCCTCAAAGTTCTCTGTCTCCGAGTTACATAACCACGTCCAAGTTCCCTTTTGACACTCAGAGGAGGCAGGAGAGATTAGATGCGACTCCTGCCGACGGTGGCACAAATTGAAAATTAAAATTAACTGTGACCTGGCAACCTTCAATACTTTTCTCAGGTCTAGTCCTGCCTTTCTCTCCTATCTCAAGGAAGAAAGCCTGCCACAGCACGGGAGGGATGCTCAGAGAGTCAATCTAGCACCTCCAGTCTGCACTGGGGGCCTCATTTTTCTGTTTTTGTTGCAAGAGGTGGTAACTGGGCAGGGGGTGAGTTGATGGTGTGAAAAGATTTCCATTTGGGGGACTCCCCTCTCCCTCCAAAGTTTGGGGTTCATTGCTCTGTCCTAGAACTGAACCCAGTATATAATACGCCATCAGATAATGTTTGTCGAATGAATAAATGCCAAGGTAATAGCATTGTCACAACCCAATTCATTGCTCATTACCTATGTGTCAGGTGCTCTGACCCTTTTGACAGGCCTGAGCTGACTTCTATACCTGTGAGGTTCATGTCTTTGTCACCCCCACTTTATAGGTAAGGAACCTGACGTTCTGCCAATTTAAGCAACTTGATTAAACTTCTCACTGTCTTTGAAGAAATGGAATCCAGGCCCACCATTTCCCCTTCAAGAGTCTGTTAACATTTCCTGTCTCTTTCCCACAGGTTTTCTACCAAGTACTGGATGTCTCAGACCTGTACAGTCTGTGGGAAAGGAATGCTTTTCGGCCTCAAGTGTAAAAACTGCAAGTGAGTGGTTATATCCTAAGGGACTTTGCAATGCCTGGGGTCAGCCAGTGTGCGAACACACACTGACAGTCCTGGAATTTTGGTTTCTTGACTCTGGGGAGAGATGGTTTTGCTCTGTAGTTCAGAAATGGGTCCCAGGTGGACCTATGGGTAGGGGAGTTCTGAATAAAGCCAGAGCTAAGGGAGGGTGGTGGGAAGACTAGCCCTGGGGGTGCCCAGTGGCATCACCCCCCCATCCTGTCCCATGATGGTGGGGGAATAGCAGCAGGGACATGTTTGTGGCTCTTCCCACCACCCCAGCCTGGCAGTCTCACCTGAGTAGAGAGGTGCAGAGCTTCCAACCATCCTAGGCTGTGGGGAGGGTTAATTAGTTCCAGTCCCTGGGGAGCCTTTAGCTCCATGATCTAAGGGAGGGGGCAGTAATTGCTGTGAATTAGCATTCAGAGCTGGCATCCCACCGTGGTACTCATCTTTCTGACTCTGAGATGCACAAGGGCACGTTCTTGGGTCTGACTTGGAGGCTGCCTGATCTCCCCAGTACACCTGCTGCCTTGGAGATCCATCTCAACTGTATCTAGTCATGTGTTCTATAGGGGAAGTGGCCTTCACATCCTCACACCTGCTGTGTGGAAGCTTTGAAGTCAAGTAATTAGGTGACAGGGACACAGCCAGGAGTCAGTGAGGCTGAATACTTCCCAAGATTTTTCAATTTTCAGCACTAGAGGTGGAACCCAGAGGGGTCTTCACTCCTTGCTCTCTGTTCTAGAAGTAATGAGCAAAGTCTCAGACCCTGCCAATGGTTGAGAGAGGAGGGTTGGAGCAGATGAGAGGGCCGAGGAGAGAAGCCCAGGCTCTGGAAGCTGCCAGCACTGAGTTTGGGTCCCAGGTCTGTCACCGAGCTCCCTGTGTGAGCTTGAACTCTTTCTGTGATCTTGAGCTCAGTTTTCTCCTCTGAAAAGTGGACATGATAATTGACACCCACTGTGGGACTTTTGGAAGAAGTCACTGAAATGTCCTTGCCCCAGACTGAAGTGTGTTTTTTGTTGTTGTTTCGTTTTGTTTTGTGTTTTGAGACAGAGTCTCCCTATGTAGCTCTGGCTAGCCTGGAACTCATTGTGTAGACCAGGCTGGCCTCTATCTCACAGAGATAGCCCTGCCTCTGCCTCCCAAATACTGGAATTAGTGGCCTGTACCACCACATCTGGCCTAAGACCACAGTGTTTCACCAAGAGCATTCCTCTCCTCATTCCATTTTGTACAGAAATAGTTCCCAGCACATGGAGGGTGGGGTGAGAATTCAAACCAAGCCCTGGTTGGGTGGCACCTGCGACCCCAGCGTGTGCTCAGACCTTGGAAAGTTGGCAAAACAGTGACAGTGGCCGATTGCCATCATAGCATTCTGGCCTGCTTCAGGGTCCTAACCGTATATTTACACAAGCTACAACACAATTAAGAACTACCCCGGGATATAATGATGAGCATGCATTGCTGGTGTCAGTTGTCACTGACACTCACTGTATTAGTCACTCTTCTGTTGCTGTGATAGAAACACTGACCCAAGCAATTTATAGAAGGAAGGGTTTATTTGAGCTTACAGTTCCAGGGGAATTACAGTCCGTCATGGCGGGGAGGCATGGTGGCTGGAGGTGGCTGGAGCAGGAGCAGCAGAAGCTAAGCTCTCACATCAGCACAGGCACAGGAAGCAAGAGAACAACTGGAGATCTGGCAAAGCTTAAGAACTCTCTAAGCCCACCCCAGTGATGTGCTTCCTCCAGGATAGCCACACCTTCTAAAACCTCCCAAAACAGCGCCGTCATCTGGGGACAAAATGTCCAAATACTTGGAGCCTATGGGGGACATTTTCATTCAAACCGCCACACTCACCCTCTGGGTCATTTCTCACAGGGGAGCACTGTGGTGAGGGTGGATGACCATTCATTTACATGTGTTTTCAAGGAACAGGCACATTTAATGACTGATCATGCCATTGAAGCACAGGCTCCCTGGCCAAGGAGTTAAGAGGACACAGTAAAGAAAGTAAAGAAGGGCGGCAGGCCACCGTTTAGGGAGGTGGTGCCCAGAACAAGGAGGCTGCTTCTTAGAGAAACGGGAAGGTCGACACTTTCCAGTTGAGTACTTAATATTACAGGTTGAGAGACCTTCACCTGAGATGCCCAGAAGGGTTTGTAGGTTTGTCATTTATTCTGATTTTGGAATATCTGTATAATGCAAATATCTGTATACATAATGAGATGTCATGGAGATGAGACTCAAGTCTAAACATGAGTATGGTGTCCATGAAGGTCAGAGGTGTCAGATCCCCTGGAGCTGGAGTTACATGAGGTTGTGCGCTGCCCAACATAAGTGCTGGGTCCCCATCTTGGTTCCTTTGTAAGAGCAATATGTATTCTTAACCACTGAGTCATCACTCCAGGCCCTCCTTTGTGTTTTAAATTTACCTCACATAACATACCTAGCCTGAGGGTAATGTGTGGTATTTCTGGTGAGCCTGTGTTTTAGCTGTGATTCCCCCCCCCCCATGAGGTATGGGGTAGTAATCCTCCCCCTCTGGCATTCTTTTGGTGTTTCAGAAGTTTGGGGGGAATTTTGGACTTCAGATTTTTTGATTCAGGGGGGTTCAAGTGTTCGACATTAATACTGCTCACCAAGGGCTCTTCCGGGCACTGGGGAGGCAGCTGCAGGGAATGACATAGAGAAAGGTCTGCTCTGATGGAATTTATATGCTGGGGACCGGGGTGGGGGTTGTGGCAGGAGGTGGCAGACAGTGAATGAAGTGAATTCCCCTAAATAGATCCCGAGACTGGATGATGCTAACTACTAAGAGCAAAGCAGGCAGCCAAGCCTGGTGGCCTATCAGCCCAGTACTTGGGAAACAGAGACAGGAGAGTCCAGAGTTCAAGGTTAGCCTGGACTCCATAGTGAAATCCTGCTGAAAGAAAGAGAAAAAGACAATGAAAGAAAGAAAACAAGGAAAGGAGGGAGAAGGGAGGAGAAAAGAAAAGGAGGGCGGAAGGGAGGGAGGAGGGAGGAGGAGGGAAGAGGAGGGAGAAGGGAGGAGGAGG